TCGAGTGAGTGCGCTGTCCACTGGGGAGGGGTGTCGCAGTTCCTAGGAATAGGGTCGAGCATGTAAGCAACATCATCACAAGTTCGGAGCCCGGAGAGACGTTGAGTGCCCTGAACCCTACACCCCACACCCTACACCCTAACCTTAAACCCCGAAAAATCCACCTCTCGAGTATCAAGCGACTACTGGTGGCGTAGGAGTTGTTCCAAGAGTATAGTTGCATGTTTGAGCCGCGTCTGCCAACTCACGCCCTCTAGCCGTAGAGCCCCTCTCAGGTCCCGTCTACATCAACCTCGTTCGCCAGCACCTTTTTTGCTGAGTGGGGCCTGGGACTTATACAGTAAATTATAGTATCCCCCAAATTTTACTTTCCGGATATTGACTGCAGTTGCAATGGGTTTGTCTGCTGTGCGCTGTGAGAGCCGCGTTTATGCATGTTTTGGCGCGTTTCAGTGTTTGGCCGCTTTCTGATGCTCATGATACCCGCCTGCCGATGCTCATGATGCCCGCCTGCTGATGCTCACGATGCCTGCCTGCTGATGCTCATAATGCCCATCCGCCTGCCCGCTGAGGTCCATCCGCCCGCCTGCTGACGTCCATCCGCCCGCCTGCTGATGCTCATGATGCCCGCCTCATCCTTCTGCGCGCTTATGCTCATCCGCCGGCCGCCGCCCTCTGATGCGAATCCGGCCGCTCGCCGATGCTCATCCGCCTGCCCGCTGATGCTCGTCTGCCCGCCCCGCCGATGCTCATCCGCCCGCCGATGCTTCCGCCCCGCGGATGCTCATCCGGCCGCCCGCCGATGCTCATCCGCCTGCCCGCTCATGCTCATCTGAGGCCCCGCCGATGCTCATTCACGCCCCGCGGACGCTCATCCGGCCGCCCGCCGATGCTCATCCGCCTGCCTGCTGATGCTCATCTGCCCGCCTCGCCGATGCTCATCCGCCCGCCGACGCTTCCGCCCCGCAGATGCTCATCCACTGAGCCGCAGGCTCCTCTGCTCGCGGGGGCATGGACTCATGCTGGGCCCATGTGAGCTCATGCTGGGCTCATGTTGGACTCATCTGGGCTCATGTTAGACTCATGTTAGACTCATGTTGGGCTCATCTGGGCTCATGTTGGGCTCATGCTGGGCTCATGCTGGACTCATCTGGGCTCATGTGGAGTTCATGTTGGATTCATCAGGGCTCAGGGCTCATGTTGGACTCACCTGGGCTCATGTTGATTGAGCTCATGTTGGATTCATCTGGGCTCATGCTGGGCTCACGTTGGACTCATCTGTGCTCATGTTGAGCTCATGTTGGACTCATTTGGGCTCATGTTTGACTCATGCTGGACTCATCTGGGCTCATGCGGACCCTTACTCTCTCTTCTATAGCACTCCCCAGACCCTTCTGAAGGCTATGCACAGCCAGCCTGAATGAAAGTGAGCAGGATTACATCTTCAGATGAGCAGCGCCCAAGGCTTCAGGAATGCAGCCTCGGAGCCGCGTGGCCCGCAGATCCGGAGCTAGCCAACTTGCACTTTAGAGCACTTGTGGGCTGCGAGCCTTCCGACGAAAATGCCTCGAGGAGCAGAATTCTGGGGGGCCCGCTGTTTTTAAAGGCAACCCATGCTTGCCATTGCTCGTCGTTTGAGATCATATCCTAATTTCTCTGAATTTTCACAATTTTCATGTTTTCTAGGTCATTGTGCGCAGTTTTTTCCGTCCTTTTTCATCACAGCATGTGTCGTAGTATTCCATCTAGTTTCAGCAGTTTCCGTGATTTTGCAAGATTTTCTTTCATCATTTGTATGAGTTTACATCAGCTGCCATATTTTTCAGCACCTTTGATCACATTTATGATTTCGTTTTGTTTGCAAAAGGGGGGGCTGCGCCCCCCCCAACCCCCCCGCTGTTTTTAAAGGCAGCCCATGCTTGCCATTGCTCATCGGTTGAGATCATATCCTAATTTCCCTGATTTTTCACAACTTTCATGTTTTCTTGGCTCATCGTTTGCGATCATATCCTAATTTCTCTGAATTTTCACAATTTTCATGTTTTCTTGGTCACTGTGCGCAGTTTTTTCCGTCATTTTTCATCACAGCATGTGTCGTAGTATTCCATCATTTTTCCGCAGTTTCCGTGATTTTGCAAGATTTTCTTTCATCATTTGTGTGAGTTTACATCAGCTGCCATATTTTTCAGCACCTTTGATCACATTTATGATTTCGTTTTGTATGCAAATCGGGGGGGCGGCGCCCCCCCAACCCCCCGCTTTTAAAGGCAACCCATGCTTGCCATTGCTCGTCGTCTGAGATCATATCCTAATTTCCCTGATTTTTCATAATTTTCATGTTTTCATGGTCATTGTGCGCAATTTTTTCATCATTTTTCATCACAGCATGTGTCGTAGTATTCCATCTTTTTTCAGCAATTTCCGTGTTTGTATCCTTGCGGCTTTCGCAATTGTACAGCATGTTGTTTTTTTTGGTCCTCGGCTTTGAACCGGCGAGCCCCAATCTTTGAAGCTTTTGCCATTTTCCATTTTGATTTTTTTGATCCTTATTTCGGTTGTTTTTCGATCCCGTTTTTTTTTGGGTTTTTTGATCATTTTTTTTTTCGATCCCTCATCTCTTATTCAAGACATAGACGTCCGGCAGGCGCGAATAGCGCCATTTCTTCGTTCAATCTACGAAGAGTTCGAGTCTCTGCGGACTGCACCCGGCGGCAAGGCATGGCTGAGATTCGCTTGGATCTTCCGGCAAAACCTAGAGCGCATGACTTAGGAAAAGCTTCTGTACCCCGTGTAGCGAAGTGTTTATGTTGAATCTGTTGCAATGAAAGACCTTGTAGAGAGAAGGACCATGTATCATGAGCACTCTTAGAGCTGTTTGGAGCTGACAGCTGACCTGAAGCCTTCAAGACGATTCCTCTCTCTTCAGCGAAGCTTCAAATTCATTCGAGTGCTGCGGATTGGAATGCTTATGTTTGGGTTTCCTTGCAAGCCGCCGCAAGCCCTTGCCCTTGTGTTCCGTGATCCAAACACAGCTCCTAGCTACTGGCAGATCTACGGGGACGATCCCGAATTCTTCAGTCCGTACATGTTCTTCAGCCGGCCGGAGGGGCCACAGGCAGGGTTTGCTGAGGATGGTTTTCAGCTTTCTCAAAGTGAGAGGGGGGAGAGGGGAGGTCGGAATCATTGTGTGCGTGGTTCTGGTTTGTAGCACCTTGTATGGTTCTCTTCCAATTTTTGGAGACGAAATTTACAAGGCCTCAACAAAACTTCAGATTCTCAAGTGGACAAACTGAGGGCCATGCTTGTTTTTCTTTTGCACTGTTGCACACTTGACAGCAGAGAGGACTATTTCAAGAAAGCACCGTCCCACGTTTGTTATTTCCACAATCTACAGTTCCTTCGAGAAGTTGACAAAATTTGTCCATCGCTATGGCGCTGCCAGACATGTTTTGCAAATGTCACAGGAAACTCAGCAGAGCTGTGAAAACAATAATTACAAAGTGGACACTTTATGCCACCCAATACCAAACGTATTCACACATTCGCCGACAATGCTCATTTGGTATTTTGGTGCTTGAGTCTGACGTGAAGAGATGTGAAGAGGCAATCTCTGCCGGCTCCGAGCTTTGGAATGTTTTCACCCAGTGACCATGTAAGGCTGAGTGGCTTTTACCAGGAGGTTTATGTTCAAAGACTCAGAATGGACCCTGAGAATGACCATTTTTTGATTCAGAAACAAAAGTGCTGGTCTTGGGGTAGTGTGCCAATCAGTTGTGATAGGGGATATAAGTAGGTTTGCAAAGATCTTTAGAATAGGTGCAAGTCACAGCCAGAAACTTGCAACATCAGGTACTTCGAGGAGTGCGCCGGCAGCGGCAGGGTCTCCAAGTTACCGGTTGGTTTGTTGAGTGTTACCACATCATAATTCAAGTGTAAGTATGCTTCCATTCTGCTGTATCGTGAGAAATTTAGCAGTCACACGCAGCTGGATGTCTTGGAATCCCATTGCAGTGACGCTACAGCCCATTAGGTTCACTCGCATGAAGATTGTATGTGTCGCGTGGCACAAATACATGAAGTCCTCAGCCAGCTTTTGATGATGTTATCCTAGGTTGATGTCAAGAAGCTTTGACTATTCCACGCCCTGTAGTCCACTAAGCCCAACTGAAACCACCAAGACAAGTATATCCGGAACTCTTTTCCCTGCGCTGCGTGGGCATGGCGCCGGAGAAGCCTGAAGACGGGTCTGAAGTAGTCTCCATCCTAGCCCTAAAAAGGCAGGAGAAGAAGGAGGACCGCTGTCTGCGATAGTCTCAAGTATTTGGTTCGTGTTCGTCATGCAGAAGATCCTATTTGTTGGAGATATAGACATCATGATTCGGTACTCAATTAGTTGGTGCTTGGGTGTGTGACCAGTATCTCCCCATGCATCCGGGCCTCAGTCTCCGCTTCCAATTCAGGAGAACCGGCGAGAGAAGCAGAGCCAGCTGCAATGGCTGATGCGGGAGGTCGAGGCAGGAGGGTCGAAGCTGGATAGAAAAAACAACGGCCTTCGGCAAGACAGAGGAATCACAGCATTAGTGCTAATCACATTTGAGTCAAAGTTTAAGCCAGCCAGTCTTGACTCGAACAAAAGGGAACCTTGCCATAGCTCTGCTTCAACTCCGTCATTGGAGACGAGGAAGCGCGGTGTCTCATCTGTGCAATCTTTCTGATCTCAAGCGCTTCCCTAAAAGCAAAAGACTCCTCCGCTTGCAGATCAACTGGGACCAGGTCATAGAGTGAGGAACTCAGTCGTCAAGATGGCTGATGTGCCCTCACTCGGTACGCCGTTCATACCATTTCTCAGGGCTGTGTGTTACCCCAATTATGGAGAATTAGCTGGAAAAGAATATGGAAATGAAATGGAAACTGGGAGAAAATAGTGGTCTAGATTTTATTTGAGGTGGCTAAATGTAGTGGAGGGTTTGCTGGAAATTTGATTGGGCTTGGATTGGGGAATGCTGAGGCTGATGGCCACCGAAGGGCTGAATCCGAATATCAAGGAAGCCGGCTCCGGCATCACCAGCCTTCACCGTGCCTCGCTCGTGGATTTGTTTGTTGAATGTTGTCAACGCCTTCGCAGCATCAGTTTCAGACAAACATATCAAGGGAGTAGAGTGTAGAGCAAACCGAGGGGAGGGTGGGGGGACACATTTGGGAAGCATGCGAAGCAAAGCAAACCAAAAGGCAGATCCCAGCTCACAAGCCCTCCCAATGCTCAGTTACCTTGGTTGGAACCGAAGATGTATGCCCACCAGGAAGACAGTAGAGGGGCAGCCCCCGCAAAGAAAAAGACAAAACACTGACGGCTGGGAGTACGAAAGGAGCATCAAACGCCTCTCACCGGGGATGGGCTAGCGCTACAAGAGGACAACTGAACTCTGCATGCCAAGCTTCGCGCAAGGGCAGTCCCGATCACGCAAGACCGTCAGAACGGATTCTGCCAACAATGGGATGTTGACCGTGCATAGACAAGTGCCATTGCAAGCAAATGTATTCATCAGCATTAGGCACTGCAAACAAAAGCCATTTGGCACTGTTTTCTTGTGAGAAACGCACGCTTCGGCCCACAAAACAGCACCACCTGCTTGACAAGCATCGTGGGCGCAGCAAACAACCTGTGCTTCCTTTGACTTAGAGGTGAGGTACGTGATTGTTTATGCAGTTGGTCACCATTCGTGGAGCGGCACAGGTGCAGCCAGTGCAGGGCAGGCTGAGGTTTTGCTGTGCCCAACTAAGTTTACTTGAGTGTACTGCATAACGCTCTGCGCCAGTGAAAAGCGCCTCTACAAAGCCGTCTGCTAAGGTGGTGCATTCAAACCAAGGCGCATGGCATGTTGCTGTCCACCTCGTTTCTCCTCGCTTGGTCGCTCCTGCATGACAGGCTGAGATCGACGGCCGCACACAGCTTGGACGCAGTGCTCTGCACTATGCCTGCGAGTGTTCGCGCGGGGATCCCAAGAAAAGTTGTAGAAGTTTGGAAGCGCATGTGAGCAACTGCGTCTAATTCACTAGGTCCGCGATGCGTGCGACTCTTATTGGAACAGCAGGCAGACGCAAATTTGCGAGCAGACCTCAGGTGCCCGTGTGTTTGTGTGCACGGCGCCTGCTGCCAGTATGTCAAAGACACCTTTGGCTCCAAGGCACTTTGAGTTACCTGACTCCTTTGCACCTTGCATGCCAAGCGAACAGCTTGGAGGCAGGAAGAGACGTGAGGATTCAGAGACGTTGTTGACTTGGGGACATGTGGTGACGAAGCTCTGTCAAGGCAGTCTCCGCGCTGCTACAAGATCCCAAGCAGGCGATGGTCCACGCGCAGACCAAAAACCCTTGACCGGCTTGTGAAGAATTTCCTGTGTGGAGTTCGAGCTTGCGACTTTGCTGCATAATTATGAGGTGGTCGATGTGGATGCGGAGGACACCAAGCGGCGCTCGGGGGAGGCGAGGGAAGGGAAGGGTTCTGGGCGTGTGGCTTGATCAAATGTTTTTTTGGGATTTCAGTTCGGCAATTCCAGCCGTTTTTGATAATTCTTCGGGTGCAGTGCTCGTTACTTCCGAGCCTGCACTTGCATGTCCTCCATCTCATGCTGCCAAGGCTGTCTCAGTTTCATTGTTGAGCATGCAGCAGTCGTGTCTTCATTATGAGATCCTCTTGAGTTCAGCAATTTGAATCGTTGATGCGCAACGATCAAGTTTCGATCGTTCTGAAACTGCGCATGGGGGCCTTTCCGCTGGTTTGCTTCAGAGGCTCTGAGCTCCAATCAGCAGATCCACCGCGTGGTGCGGAAATACCGTGGCTTGGACAAAGTCAAAGTGGTTGTGCGTAAAGCAAGAACATATGTTTGCACTCGAGTTTGAGGCACGAAGATTGTTGAGGCATGCAGGATTGTTGGAGACGGCCGCATCCAGGATACTGGAAGCTGCAGCCCGACCGTAGTGGGGTGAAGCTTCGGTCTTCGTAGTTGCAGAGGTTCTAAACACTATGCAGCCCAAGCAGATTCAACTTGTTCGAGGATCTGTCTTACACGAAAGCAAAGAGATTGACATCAAGTGTGCAAGACTTCATTGAATCATTGAGGCCCGTCCAGCCATCTTCCAGAATTCCCTGACGACACTTGTGGTAGATTCTTCCAAGCTTTTGAACATCTAGAGTTGTAAGCGGGCTCCCGAAACCTTTAAGCCCATGAGTACAAGCACTCCGACAGCCGCACTATTTTCCCGACTTGGAGAAGCCCACGAGCTTTTTAGCTCAGTCCTTGACCTGGAACATCCTGGAGCTAGACCATGCAAGGTCTACGTATGAAGCTCCTCGAGGGCTAAAGGCAACGCCTGTTCTGACAAATCCCAAAAAACCCAAATCTAAATTGGAAGCACTCGTTTTTGCATCATTCTTTCTTAGCCCAAAGCTCGCAACCAATTCCTAGAATACTCAAACCAATAAAATAGTTCTGTTTGAGAAAGCTACGTTCATTGAACCAAGGCAGGCACCCCAAAATCTCAAACCCTACACCTTCACACAAGCTAAATCTTAAACCATGAGCCCTTAATCAAAACCGCAAATGTTCGACAAATTTTCTTCGCGCAGCCCAGGCGCACAGTTGGATGAACGAAGGAAGGCGCAACTGGTGGAGCCGGGCCCTGGGTGCTATCTTTGTAGGTCTTACGAAGCGTTATGTAAGGAAGTCTGTTGGGGATTTTGTTGATCGCGCATTCGTTCGAATTGTTGAGAATTTTTGTGGCTACTTGAAGGGATGACCTTAACCAGAATTGCGTCAAACAATCATGGGCCGTTTTGTTGGGTCTTATTAATGCCAGGTTTATGGACCCTTACTCTTGGGAAATATATACTTGATGCCAGAATAAGTGGTATCATACTTTTGTTTCATCATACTCGCATCGGTAGCATCCAATCAATGTAGCAACGTGAGAAGTCGTTACAAGTCTTGTTATTAATCGCTCCTTGAATCACAATCCGTCGTTATCTCAGGATTCTGTGCAGGAGCAGCAGTATCACTGCTACTCTTGTTTGTGCTGTTCATAACGTGCTTACGAGCATGGGTGGTAGTTGCATCTCCGTTTATGCGGTTGGCATGTCTGTGAAGGGGTAGGATGGGCTAATGGCTGGCGCATACATCGATTTTTACACACCCTGCACACGTACTCATACCTGCAGACCTCGGCTTTGCAGATTGCTGCTTTCAGGTGCAGCGGCATCTTGAGTGATCTTGAGTGATACTGTGAACAGCTGCCTGGCTGGTTTTCTTTTGTGTCAAGCTGTCGGCGGCACCTGCGCCTTTTGCCTCAAAAACGTCGGGCGGGACCGGCGTCGGCCGAAGCCTTGCGTGTGTACTGCCAAGTCAGGTCTGAAGCAGGCTGATGGCAATGGCTTGCTTCCGGACCCACCTATGCAGCAAGACTGCTATTGTCCGGCAAGTGTGCATGAGCTCTTGGAAGCCTGTTGCGGGTATTGCGCCCTTTTCCTGCTTCAGCATTTGGGCAAGGCTGGAGTTTGGCAGAGCAGGAATCGCATCATCGCTGGTGGCTGGCAGGCGCTTGGCTTGGGCTTGCTGAAGCCGCGCGTGCGCAGAGAGCAAGCTGTTTGCAGTGTGGGTGCAAGAAAGACTTCTTCCGTTTGTTCTTGGACCTTGCAACCACGCTGCGCCTTCCCTGATTTTGCAGCAGTGCTTCTTGGTCACCGGGATGCCCTTTTGGCGAGGCTTGCAGAAGGTTCGCTTACAGATCGGGGGTACTTTCCTCGTTGAGAGGCCTTCTGGAAACTTGCAAGGATTTCCGCAGCATAATGCAAGAGGTGGACAAGCTAGCAGCAGCCAGTAGGCAAATACTTTCAAGCAATTGGGCCAATGTGCAGAGGCAGGTTTCGGCAAGTTTGGTTGTAGGGTTGCAGTGAAACATTGCATATGCGGCTTTGTGTGGTTGTTTTATTCCTGCATGTATTATTCGCGCTCGCTAGCATGCCAAGGGGGGGGGAAGATTTGTGACTAACTTCAAGGTCCAACTAGAGCGGTTTGAGGCAAACCTGAGTAGCGTGCTGGTCATTGTTGGGCAAATCGGGCTTTCAGCGAGTCAGAGAGGCCTTTTTTGAGAAGGCCTTAGTCCAGGGAGCCAGTGATGACAGCACTCCTTTGAGCAAGCTATTGGTCATGGTGTGGGCTAGTCGGCGCTGGTGTGACCTTCAGCGGCTTGATCTGGCCTCTGCTTTACTGAGCCAGGATTGCTCAGTCTGGCCTGCGACTTCTGTTGGATCGCAGAGGCCACGCCTTTGGGAGATCTTGGCACTCGTATGCTCGATCGGTTTCAGCGGTATCTGCTCACGTATGCTTGCCTTGAGCACAGTGTGGCGTCTTCTTTCATTCACACGTCTAAAGCAACGCCGCTATCCTGGCCATCACAGATGGAGGTAGCAGATGCATTCAGGCAATCTCCAAGCTATCGCCGTTCGGTTATTGTATCCTGTCGTTTGGGAAGGCATTCATGCGGTGGCATCAACGCACAGCTCAAGTGTTTGCGTCAAGGGGTTGCGGCTCTGAGTGGTGACTGTCGGGCCGTATGGGCCACGGATGGGGGTCTTGCCCGTGGGAAGATTCAATGTTTTATGTGAACCCCACCCCTCCCCATGGCATCATGGTGCTAGCTGCACATGAAGGCCAGTCTATCACCGAGGCTGAATCCAAGGAGGATGTTCCGGATGGGTCTCCTCCCTCGGAAGTTTGAGCGGCATTTTCCAGCTAAACCGACCGAGCGAAGCAGATGATGCCAACGGGCTCGATGATTTCAAAGAGAGCCCGTCGTCTGCATGCGTTCGTTCGCGCATCTGGTGCTAGACGCGCGAACTTTGTCAGGGTATTGGAAATGCTGGTGGCTGGATGCCTGGTATGGTCATAATTTCATACTTTACTAGACAGACGAAAGGTGTGAACACGTAAAACTTCTGGAGACGTTCTGGATTGCCTACTCAAGCACACATGGAGCCTTGAGAGGGATGAAGGACGTCAGAGGCTTCCATGGCCTTCCCTGACCGAGTTTTTGGACAGCATGCTTGCTCAGCCCTTGGCTGTTTTATCAAAAGCATGTTCCCCAAAACAGCTCAAACGACCCCTGCTCTTTAGGTGGCCGGCGTAGCTTTGGATTTCGGCTCCTGAAACACAGGCTGATGCGCGATTGAAACTTTCGTGTTTCTAGCATCTTCTGTCTTGCCTTCCTTTCAGCAACAGCAATGTTGTGATGATTCGTCTCTATTTGGTTGGGATACTGATATTCTCGGCTGGTCTCGTAGGACTTCTTTTGTTCCAAGGCAGTGCCTCCAGCGCCTGTTCAGCTTCTTCGATGTCAACCAGGATTGCTGATAGACCAGGGGTGTGTCTTGTCAATGCGAAGTATGACAGTATGACATCTATTCTTTTCAGACTTGGAGTTTTTCAAGATGAGCTTGTGAGCTTCATTACAGGCACGCCTGTGGGATTGAGTTTGTTGACGCAAGATCGTGGCAGCTGTTGGTTGCGAGGATGGCATGATCCACCCCGAGGACGCTGTTGGGCTTGAGGATGGAGTGTTCAACACTGCAGTTCCCACATATACCATGCGCAAAAGAGGGTCCCAATCACAAGCATTCGCAAGTTGAACTCAGAAATCGGCATGTGGTACATATCGATTACATGGCGGAGGTGCTCAGGAATGTACAACTTAGAATCTTTCTCAGAGCTGCATGACGAGCTTTCCGTTACCTTGTGGCACTTTGGCCTGGGGCGCCTGTTCCCATTTCACCCGGACAGCTGTCTTTAGAAATGGGGGAAAAACAGGTTCGCTCGATAGATGCCCAAAATCGGGAGAACGAATGACCGGACTGGTGCTTTTGAGGAATTCTTAAGCAAGTGAGTTCAACTCAAGATTGTGATGTTATTGTTGACGAGTAAGCCAGGCTCGATAGAGGTTGAGCTCTGATAATCTTTGATCTGCATCTTTGGCATGTTGTCGATTGCTATGTCGCCTTGAACTGTGAGGGGTACTGTCCAAATCCAAGCAAGCTTGATTGTATTTTAGCGTTTCTGAGGTCTGACATGGAATTTTGGAGCATTCAATTTCCAGCCTTCCAAGCCAGGAAGTTGAGATCATGTCGAACATGCTTTCCAAGAGCTACTTTTGCATAGGCGTGAATGCAAGCTTTTGCAGGGCCGCACACAGCCCTGCAACAGGAGTGGGCTGACAGCATGACTCTCTTGGCAGAGTTCTTCGAGAATCATAGCGATCGGTCCATTTCGAACATGCTGGGGTGCTCAGTTTGACAGGTGTTTTTTGAAGTGTATCACATATAAAGAACACGGCGAGGTTGAGGACTATTTTCGTCAGGAACCTTGATGTGGATAAAGAGAAGAACGATACGAAGAAACTTCGATCATGGATGATGTTCACGGGAAGGGCGAATGAAAGCAACCCCCATCAGAAACGATGCGACTTATCTCTTGAAAATATGAACTGGGTTACTTCGAGAATCTACTCACGAAAGCTCGCTACGAGAACTTTGTCATTCTATGTGATGAGTATTTCCCCTGTCAGGGTCGAAGGCTTCAGGTTGGATTATCATGGGTTTTCTATGTAGGGAGTATTTCCCACCTCGCCCCATTGCAGGTGGTTATGATTTAGCTTATGCTGAGACTTGTCTGACAGGAGACTAAGACGCTCGCCAATGCTTGCTGTGCTTCGGGTTTCAGAGTAGCCCTCTAGGGGACGGGACGACCGGCAATGTCCTTGGGAATGCAGGCTTCTAGACCCCATGTCGTGCCCACCACAGTATCCACACTAGAGTCCCAGGTTCGAAGAGATCGACAAGGACGATAGTGGTTACATTGACTGGCCGGAGTTCAAGGCGCTCATGTGCAAGGACTCACCAGACATCTCGACAGGATTGTTGTGCGTGGGTGGTTTCCGTCGGAACTTAAGAAATTGTCGCAGCAAGCGTGTGAAGCAATTGTCCATTCTGATCACACAGTCTTTCGTCCTCCTACATGTCCACGAAACAGCTTCTAAGTTTGCTTGTCGCCAAAGCATTTAGCGATTGCTCTTCTGCTCTTGGCCTTTATACAATAACTAGGACATTGGCCAGTTTCACAAAAAAAGCTCCAATTCCGGATCAACCTCACAGCTCCGCTGGTGAAAGGCTTCCTATGCGGAGCTTCTCCAGGCCGTCAGACGTGGGTGTAAAAGGGATCTCTTGGTACAGAGCATCTGCGGATTGGAGAAGCGGCAAGATTCCAGCTCACCAGGTCATCAACGTGCCCTTCCGAGAACTCATGGACACCCTGGCGGATGTAGATCGGGCTCGACATGTGTTTCCTGTGACAGCTTGTGCAAGTTTGGGGATGACGTGGTCTGGTCGTCTCTTGTTGCCGTGTAGACCGAAGCATGGGGTGCCCCTTGAATCCTTGCCGCAGCACCATCTCGTCGAAAGGCCATCCTGAAGGAGAAGCTCCGCTTGGAGAGGGAAGAACTGGAGGCAGAGTGGCGTCCGGGAATCGCTCGCACTGAACGGTGATGCGGTGATGCAGGGTTGGAATAGCTTCGCGTTGGATCTTGCCAATTTCCAAACTTGGACCTTCCCTCTGCGAGGAAGTGAGTGATCATCTTTTAGGCATGCTTTGCAGGATAATGATCAGACACCTCTAGGGCTGAGCTTCGAGTGTTGGATTGCTGGGCGTACTCCGATGTGAGATCCGACTCTGGGATGATGGGTGGTACTGTAGTGCACCGTAGTGAATTGCCATCTCTGGACCAATCCTGGACGTACCGCCACAGGCCTCCAAGGCCCTCCGAGCCCAGGAAGAGGCCGGTCCAGTTCGCTGAACACAGATGTTGCAGTAAGAACTGCAATGCACTTGGAATCATCCCTTCACCACTTCCGTGTTTTTTCTCATCCTCATGGGTCACCCTTTAAGCCATGGCTTCCGTTGTTTTGTCTCTGCCGCTTTGCGTGATTGGGTCGCAGTTGCTGAAGATCATGATGCTTGTTAGGAAGTGCAGCAGTTCGGCGAGGAGGTGCCCTCAGCACATGTTACAGTGGTAAAGGTACGCATCAGTCAGGGCGTGTCCGCCGTAACTTGAATTTGCTCCGCCAGGAGGAAGAGGAGGAATCTCCTTCTGCGAACAAGGCCTGGCGTGATATGGGGGCTCTTTGTTCTGCTCTGTCTAGCATTGCGAGACACTTTGCGACACTGTGGCATCCAATGCGCCAGGCACCCGCAGTGACAGTGGGGTGCTCAGTGCCATGGGCAGATCAGGACATACACGAGTTGGCCTGGGTCTACCAAAGAAGGGGTCCGAGCAAAACAGGCCTGAGATGCACTTTCAAAGCTGGCAGTTGTTCAACCCCACTGCAGGTAATGGAATTTGAAAAGAGGGAAGCACCATAGTTAGCCGCGACGGCTGTTTTGAAGAACAGCATCGCAGAAGCCCTACAGCATCGCACAGTTTTGACTTGCAGCCAAGATTAGACACAGCATCATCTTTCAAGCCTGAAACGAAAGTGGCTGGATCGCATCAGCTTCAACATGTTACGTGGTACAGCATGTTGCTGACGACATTCGAGGAAACTACATCAGCCTTCACTCGACTCAAGAGAGCCCTTACGGGCGCATCTGCCAATGTTGACTTGTTGGGTGTCTGCCAAAAAGCCGTGGTCCCACCGCAAATTGACGCCATGAGCTTGCCGGCGGAGCCTGCAGAAGGGCTGACCCTGAAAGGAAAATGAACGACGCGCCCCAAGCACAGGACGGCGACAGGCAGTCCGAATGTCAGCTTAAACGCTGTGGAACAAGGTGTGGTATCATGATATCAGACGGGTTAAGCAACTGCGCACAAAGGAGCCGTGGACGTTGCGTGTTTTCAGAGATTGCAGAGGAGGGGCCGGAGGGAGTTCTCGCTGTCACAGGGTTACGGTTACTGCCGTCCTGAAGGGAATAATTGCAACTAGATCCATGCTACGACATACTCAATAGTAGTGCTAATAAATCTGTAGAAAATGTTCAGTCGGGAGGAGGCCACGAAGTCCCTCTTTTCTCACAAGGGTCCCTTACCATGATCAAGCACAGTCAGGTCCCATGATTCTATCAAGATTTCTGCTGGTTTGCGAAGTCTTCCCAGGTCTCGGCAGCTGGGAAGGCAGCCGTGGCGATGAAGCGCTTTCGAGCTCCCGTGGTCTCGCCCAAGGCGAAGGCAGCTGAAAAGTGGCTGAGAAGTTAGTCATGTGCAGCTTAAGCTAGATGATGCTAGATGTGTGATACAGCATTGAATTCTCACACTCCTCAGTAGCTAGAAAGAGAAGCATTCCTATGGTGGGCAAGCAAGGGTCAGCAAGCGTTAGCGGCGAGAAGACTTGTCATCATGGGGACAACAGCCTCAGTAGGTGCTATGCAGCTTCCATCAAGATCACCATCTTTTCAGGCCATGTCCTTGCGCCGTGTTGCGCTGCGGCGCCATAGTGACCATCAAGTGGCAGAGACAGCTGAAGAGGACAGTCCCTGGATTTGCTAGTAGTTCAAAGCTTGTTTTAGCATGGGTCTGGTCGTGTGAGGTGGTGCTTGGGGTCTACGCTCCGGTCATACTTGCAGTGAGATACGGTAGCTGGTGCAGGGATGTACGCTTGCTTATCTCTCAGCTGCCCCAATTGCTTCAATTAGCTGGCCTTCACAAATTGTTACAGATTTTACAGATTCGCTTCGCATGGTAGGCCTTGGCTCTGTTTGCGGCCTCTCTGGAGACTGCGCCGATGCCCGTGTAAGGCCCTCATTCTTGAGGCCTGCGTTCCGCTGGTTCTCTCCCACAATGCAGCTCCCGGAAGCTGAGTTTTGATCATCTCCCTCTTCACGACCCCAAATTTGGAAGCCAGCTGTTTCGCTCAGTCACCCACGAAGCACGCCAAGCCTTGTTGCGGAGTCCACCTCTAGAGGAGCTCCTTCAGCAGGGCTGCTCTGACGCTGTGAGTCAAGATTAAAAACGCATCCTACTTGCAGCTTCATCCCAATCAAGAGTCGCTGCTACGTGTGCCCAGGCCAAGCGAGAGCCTACAAAGCAATCCCAACGAGGCTGGATTCCTTCCTAAACTTAGACTTGTAGGTCTGCACAAATTAGACTTACTAAGCTGCACATGTGACAGTCCAATATGTGTTTCCACACGGTCACAGTCCATGCAATCCTGGTGAGGTTGACGACGGGAAGGAAAATGCTGGCTGCCCTGTGGTTCTTTTGGGTTTCGCGGGGTTCCAGAGGCGTGTCACATGATTAGAACATTCAAAACGGGTCTAGTCTTACTGTATTTCGACTAGAGCATTTTGACAGGAGTGCTGGTACTAGCAAGGAAATGTGATGTTGACAAGACACCATCAATCCCTTGGCTGGGTTGCTTACCCCGAGACGTTACTGCTGCGGTATCTTGGCTAAGGGCGTGATGGACTCTGTTTCCTCCATATCCCCCACCAAAGTGCAGCTGGTAGTGTCTCAGGTCCTGCCAACGATGCCTGAATTGGCGTTCACAGGTTTGTCCGCTATGGTAAACGCCGAAGCGGAAGTGTCTGAAAAAACATGACTTCGAGGCTCGTGCCTCCTTGCATGGATGTCTCATAGAATTCGTTCGTTTTGGGCCAGACCTGGGCATCCAAGAAAGGTCATTCCACATTCTCTGAATTCCTGGTCGGCCCTCATTTTTAAAAGCCACATCTTAAAGTTGGCTCCTGGCCCTGGTTCGACGTCTGGATCTGGAAGAGGGAGGGAAGTCGGAATAGAAGACGTCGGCCGAGGGATCTCGCATGCCGTATCACATGCTGCAGATTTCAACGTAGCTTCGCATCTTCATGGTGTGCATCTAGCAGCGTTGCGCCCATGCCAGAGGTCAATAGTGCTACTGCATAGTTGCAGCGACATGGCACATGGCCCGTGACACTATGTACTCCAGCACTCCAGCAAACCTTGCCTGGCGTCAAACTCGAGGTACCGCAGCATGCTGGCCAAATGCGATCTCGTTGATGGAGCCAGATCCGAGCAAGCGCAGGCAGTGTCTGTGACGCTGCTCTCCATTCTTGCCTAACGTGAGCGCAGCTCCGGCATCTTCACTTCCGGCCCAAGCGGGGAGCACAAGCAAGCGCCCTGCCAGGAGAGGCAGAACGCCTACGACGCTTGGCACGCGGAGCGAGACCCGGCGCGGTGAGCTGCTTGTACTTTCACGAGCCCGAGCCAATTTTTTCATTTGGGAGCATGTTCGAGAGGCTTGTTGCTTGTTGGACCTTAATTCTTCGTCTTTCCCTGCTTACAGGCGCTCAAGGTCTTCGCCAGAATGTTTGGCGAGGAGTGGACGGAGGACTCTAGTCCAGACAAGTGGCCAGCATGTTTGCTGAAATCAGCTGCCTCTCTCTATATATTATGATTTCTATTATTGTGAGTATTACTACTTTTCAATACTATTATTGCTATTATTCAAGCCTTCATCTCCTCAATCAGCTTGACCTTTGGAAGGAGTTCTCCAGCACGGTGCTGTTCCCTGGATCTCGGGTAGTGGTGGCCTCGCGTCAGAACATGTAGGCGCTAAGCACTTCGCCGATGTCTAAAATCCCTTAAGCCATCAAATGTTTGGAGCCACTCTATTCCGCAGATCCAGTCGACCTCGTAGCAGCAAGCAACAGGGAAGTCATGGTTGCTACACGTACGAACCGAGGTCCATCACGGGCGCCGTGTGCTCGCTGAGATGGATACATGAATGCGAAAAGCCGGACTCGCATACGTAGAGTGGCCATGGCTGACAAGTCTGCCGATACATCAGTTAGCAAGCGCTCCTTAGGCCACAATGAGCATCCTGCAGAGCACTCTTTGGATGCCTGAACGGCATCCTGAACCTTGTGGATGCATCTTTGATTCTAGTGCGACAACCTGCAGCGCCCATTTCTGTTCTCGTCGATTCTATCAGGCATTTGCCTGCAAGTGCGCAAAAAGAAGCCATGCAAAGAGGATACGCAGGCAGCCCATGTCGAAGCTTTCTCTTCGGTGATTGTGGCAGATATTTTTTTCCGTTGACACCGTTGGAAACAGAAACCTACAACGGGAAATACACACAAAAGCCTCAGAAAAACCTTCAGCTTTGCCGAACCCTTGCCTTCCCTACGAAAGGTTCGAATGCTTTCCATCAGAAGCAATGCACAAGTGTTCGAAAACAAGTCCCAACTTCTTGGTTTACTTTGAAGCTTGTGTGAAATATCCTAGGGCTTGTCAACAGAAGAAGCAACTTGTCTTTCTTCGTAAAATTCCTGGGAAGGCCTCCACTCCCAACTGGTTGTGTTTGGATATTTTCCTCGCCTTCCATCAGCGGCACATAAACAACTTCAATTCGCAACTGCTGACCTTCAATGGAAAACAAACACTTCGATTCATGGGCTCTCGGGTACAGTCCACATGTCCATCTTTTCAAGCTGGATCTGCACAAAGCCTTCGGATTTGCTGAAATCAAGCTTCTTGTGGAAAAACTTCTAATGGCAACTGGCTGCTAATTATCAGAATCGATAAGCGCATGTCGACGACTGTCTGTTCGCAACGCAACTTCTCTGGCAACAGTGACGAGCAGAGGATGGTTGACCTGCTGCTGTTGCTCAAGCTTTTTCATGGAGGCCCCTGTAGTGGTCGAAGTCATTGGGCTAGCTCTGGAAGGGCTCAGGAATAACTTGTGGGGATTTAGGTGTCCTGTGTACTGTTCCCAGCCTGACATTCCTTTGCTCCTCCTGACTTTCCTGTGTGGCACCCTCCTTGGTGCTTTCATCACTTTCACCTCCTTGCGCCACTACTTTGGCCCTGTGGTGTCTGTGCCTGCGGCCCAGGCATCTTCTTTCAGTCAGTCGCGCCATAGACTGACTTTGTATGGGTACTGAGGATCAGGAGGTCACTCAGATTGCACGTCAACTTGAAGGTATAACAATCTCTGTAACTGCTCGCCGGCCGCGTGCTGGTTCTGCTCCTCCTGCTCAGGCATCCTCTTACCCGGCCTCCCAGACTGCGCCTGTGCAATCTTCAGTGTCTCCAGGGGTTGGTCGAACTCCTGTTGAGGTCGCCTCTTCTCCCAGCACTACGCCTGCCGCCCGGCCTACATCCCTGCACTCACCCGTGTCTGCAGGTGTTGGTCGGACGCCTGTTGAGGTCGCCCCTCCCCAGCCTCAGCCTTCTCCTCCCGGAGGTACCCGTGCTAGGCTCGAGGCCTCTTTCCCACCTGTCCCCGTGTCCTGGTCATCACAGGCCTCCCTCCTTCGGTCCTCTGTGTCGAGCGGAGAAGCGAGGTTGCTTAGGGCTTGGGTTGCCGGTTGTTGGGCTAGGGCTGTTCTGCGTGGAGACGTGCCGTCTCCTAACCATCCGCCCCGTTTGAGCATCCCGAATCGTCCCGCTCTCTATCGCTCCCGGCCTGCCTACTTGACGGCGGTCAACAGCTTCCAGGACCGCGTCTCTGTCAGTCAAGGCTTCCCCTCAGAGATTGAGGCAAGAGTGTATTTGGACGCCGCCCTTCAGGGCTCTCAGCCAGCACAGCGCAACGATGGACTTTGAAGCCATCCTTCCTGCAGACTGGGACCTCGAGCTCCTTGTGCTTAGTCCCGTGCTCAGCCCTGAGCTTAATTTGCCTCTTTTGCAGCCATGCGCCTGCTACTGTGTTTTGAAACGTCCTGGCGGGCTCCTGCTTTGCCTGCCGCGCCTTGCAATACCTGTTCAGGCCGTGCTCCTTGGCGAAGACGGCTCATTCCCTACACTGCCGGGCAGGGAGACGTCCTGCCTTTCGATGTGGGGGATCTCCTGATGTTCCCTCGAGGTTACCTCCTTCGCGATTGCCTGGCTCCAGGGGGTTCAAGGCGACAGAGCTGCTTCAGGATACGCTACTGCTGCCGAGGTAGAGGAACCTCCTCCGGGTTTGGATATCGGACGCTCTCCCAAAGCAAAGGCAGAACCCAAGGTAAGGCGCCCCACTGTGGCCGTACTGGCTTCCCAGCAAGGCGCTCTTCAGGAACTTGTTGCGTCCCTCGCTCAGCAGGTGCAAGCCATGGCAGCCAAGCAGGATCTTCTGCTTCAAGGTCCGGTAGGTCAGCCCAGGGCCCCAGGTTCCCGATGCTGGCGCTCCCGTGCGCGCCGCCCTTCAACCTGCAAGATGCCTGTACAGGCTCGTGCCTTGACCTCACTTGTCGGGCAGCTATCGGCTTCCGGAAACGACCCTCTGCCAGAGGGGAGCTCGTCACTCTCGACAAGAGGGACCTCAGGTTGGCTGAAGCTCCAACAGGAGCTTGCTCTGGGAGAGGGCGCTTTTTACGAGAAGGTTCCGGCGCCGGATGTCTCCTGCTGCCTCCTCAGTGTCCTCGGCCGAGACAGAAGGCACCATGACACGATATCTAGAAAGATATGGGGGGTTCAGCAAGGCGAAGGAACTGGGTTTGCTCCAATGGCAACTGGCGATTGCTATGGATCTTCTCGGAAATGGAGAGCCAAGAGCTAAGAGCTGCAACAGACGTGATAGCCCTGATGATGGTGATGGTGGAACAAACCAGTTTGGATGGGCATCCCGATCTAGGCTGGCTTTTAACACTCCAAAGCGACCCGCCTTCAGGCGTCTTCCTCGACCGCCAAAGCGGCTTGAAGCCTTTCAGCAGCCTTGCGGATCCAAAGTGGATCGCGACCATGTTGGCATTCATAAAGGAACAGGATTCCTTGTCCGCTCGTCGGTCAGACTTGGGCAAGCAGAAGGCCCCTCCTCCCCCAAAGACGGATCCGAAAACGGGCGAGCCCGCCCTGTGCTCTTTTCTAGGCAAAGCAGCCTGATGTTGCATGTGCCCCTGCCTCGGCTCCCGAGAAGCTTTCCCTCGGTGATGCCCCTTTCAAAGGCAAATTAACTTTCATCAAGTGGGCCGCCGCCTTGCCTAGGCTGCTTTTGGCCACTTGCGCAGCTTTTGCATCTTTTGCCCATTTCATCCGGGCCACCTTTTCTGTGAATTCCCATGAGGGGGAGCTGCCCCCTGACACCGTCGTTTTCCGCTCCCTGTTCCTTCTCCTGAAACTTTTGCGGAGGAGCGCCCGAGGGTGAGCCGCCGTCGCCTGAGCAACTCTTCTGCGATGAGCCGCGTGCTGCACGTTGTTTGCGTGGCTCTCAACTTCCTTCACTCGGACGGCGAGCCTATCCCTTTAAAATCCCTTCGGAGGCCCCCCAACCCGGCCCAGGAATCTGTTCTGGCTCGTTTGGAGGGGTTGATTGCGGCGAGTGGCCGGTACCCCCTAGAGCTGCCTTTGGCTTTTGGGAGGAGAGGCCCACATCTTGGCCCGTCTTGAGGAGCTGTGTGTGTATTTGAAACCCTGGATGCAGTGTTGCCGAGGGGCCCGTCCCTCACCTGCCTGGCGGGCCTCCTGTCCTTCAGCCCTATCGTGATGCCGATGCGGGCCGACTCCTCATCTCCGGACACGGGGTGACTGGGACATCCGTCCTCACTTGCCCTGAACTCTTCATGCCTTTTGTGGAGCCTGAGGTGCTACGCAGCGTTCCCCCTAGTGACCTCCCGTACCCTGACTGCACCCGTGACGGCCCCAAGGAGGTTTTTGATCTTTGGCGTAGGTTAGGGGTTTTACGCCTGCCCCCAGCAAAGAGGTCGCGCGCTCCAAAACCGTCACCAACAAGCTCCCTAGGCAACTTTCTCCTAGAGAGCTTGGACTCCAGGGCAAGGCGGTAAGCTGAGGTGCCGACGAAGGCCGACAGGGGCATTGGCGGACCTACCACATTGGTAGCACAGCGCGAAGCGCTAACTGCGAGAAATCCGTCACGTGTCTGGGCACCTAGGAGAGCTGCCAGCTGACGCCCAACAACCGCCCTGCCATTCCATTTGGGCCACGGCGATCGCCGGTCATTCTGTCGACCTCGGGCCCCTTGTAGGCTCCGAACACACGGCGCAAGGCACGGCGCTGAGTGGGGGCAGGGCGTCTGTTCCCTTTTTGACCAGGATGAGCCGAAGATGGCGCGGCGGCCCATACGCCCTTGCTTGAAGATGCTGGCCTTTTGACAGCTTCATCCCCACCTCCCCTGCCATCGGTCTATGACGCACTTTGCCCTCTCCATTGCTTCGGCCAAGCCTTTCCTCCAGTGCCCTCCGTGTGACCTCCCCATGCTCCTGGCCCAGAGCCAAGCTGGTCAGAGGATCTCACGCGCCAAGGATCAATATGCAACTGTTGGTTTGAAGGGCTCAGATCATAAGACGTCTTTGGATCATTGTTCTTCACAGCGGCCGGGGCTGAAGTCGACTCCAGCTTGGAGACTGTTGCCGAGGGTAGCGTTTTGGTCGCAGCACCTCTTTCCAAGAGGTTGGCCCTGTCACACATCTCCCTTCGCGTCGCTGCCCTGCCTGCTGTGTCTGAAGAACTTTTGTCCTCCGCCTTAGGTGGCTGGGTCTCTTACCTGCAGTACCGCAAGCCTCTGTCTTGCGCGCTTGATTCTGTTTTCCCGGTTTGCCAACATGCGCCCTCCTGCGCTGATGGCAGTCCCCTCCGCAACCTATAATACCTAGGAAGGCTGCCAGTGAACTTTGTGTCCTGGCAGCGCTCGCTCCTGTGCTGACTACCAACATTGCGGTCCCCTTTAGTGACCAAGTCTTCTGCTCCGACGCATCCCTCCACAAAGGTGCTGTTTGCACCGCCGCTGCTCCGAGGGCGTCGTCCGCGAGATGTGGCTTGCTGCCCAACACCGTTGGCCCCACTCCTCTCAGGACGGCTCCGAAACCTTCGAGCCCAGTGACAGTTGCCCTGATTCACCTCTCCGGCCCATTGGTCTCAACTACGACTTCATAGAGGTGTTTGGAGGCTCAGGCCGTGTTTCCGACGCAATGCGTGACCTTGGCTTCGTGTGCGGCCCTGTCCTGGAAGCCCAGAGTACTCCGCCGCTGGAGACCCGGAGATTGCGAAGCCTGATGATTGGGTGCCCTGCGCCACCATGTCGATTGCGGCCTGGCCCGCAGTCCGTAGTCATAAGTGCTTTTGGGGTTTAATCGTAGGCGCCCTAAGACCTTCCTAGGTAATCTCTTGGCTTTTAGGGGTTTCCTTCTCCTCGGCCTGTGCTGGCGTTTGAGCATTCCGTGTGCCTTGGAAAATCCTAGGAGATCCAAGCTTTTTTGGATGCCTTGGGTACGTGCCTTTCTTCGCAGGCCTTTTACCCTTTACACTTGGCGAGCGTCATGTGCCTACGGATGCAAGCGTAAGAAGGAGTTCGCCTTCCTCTCATGCCATGTGCCCTCCACAGAGCGCGCCGTGCTTGCCCAGGAGGCCATGTTCACGTGCCTGTCCAAGGGAAACATGCGAAGGAGAGCGCTGTTTACCATGTAGCTGTAGCCGGCCTTGGCTGACTGCTTCAGGATTGCTCTTCACAGCTCGCCTCCCGAGGAGGACTCCTTTACCCCTGGGTTTGAGAACTTGCTTGTCAATGACTTTCTCTGCGGAGCTTCCTGGCAAGTCCTGCTTGACTGGCGTTGGAAGAAGCAAAGCCATATCAACCGCCTTGAGTCTGAGCGCTGCAACGCCTTGTGCAAGCGCTTGCTCTTGAGAGGGGGTGACCTGCGTTTCCCGATCATCCCCGACTCCGCTGTCACTCTCGGAGCACATCGCAAGGGCCGCAGCTCTGCCAGGTTCCTTCGATCCTCCCTGCGTGTGCGCGGGCGGCCTGTATCCTGGAGCCTCCTTCGGCCCCAGTCGCCTGAACACGTCAGATGACCCCGCTAGGGATAGGGTTCTTAGACCTCCCTGCCCCAGTAGGTTCTTTGACGTTTCTGATCGAAATCCATAAGTCCACGGGCATGCAGATCAGGAGGGGGAAGACCACGGTGACGGGCCTTCTCCGGAAAATCCAACACAGACTGAAGGAAATCTGCAGGCTGCTGACCTTGGACGGTCGAGACCAAAGTGCACAACCTCAACCAGTTGGCTGTGTGACGGGGGAGGCTACGACCCTTGGCTTTCCTGGAGAGGGGCATCCCTTTCCCTCCTTTACACTTCTGTTCCTCATCCTGCATTCAGCACGTGCCGTGCTGTTTCCCCGTAATCGGGCTGATCATTCCCGTCTTGCTCATCGTGCCGCTCCTCTCCCTGCCGGTCGTCCTGTCCAGACTGTGACTTCTTCTAATAGGGTTTTCTTGACAGCAGCCTTTTCGCAATGGTTCGTTGACGTGTCTGGTTTTCCGCTTGAGGTGCATCTGGGAAGGACGCCTTTTTTGGTGGAGCCCTTCGTCGAGCTCCTTGTGCAGTATGGTCATGATTTGTATGGCTCAGGCAGACCATACTATCATTTTTCGGAGACGATAAACGCTGTCACGGCTCGGAAGCCAATACTTCGCCGTCAGGTCCAAGCCGCGTGGGACGTAGCGTTCACTTGGCTGGCTGAGGAACCGTCCACCCATCATGTGGCGATGCCTCCTTCGGTCCTTCTTGCTCTTCTTTCTGCCTGCTTGGCTTGGGGATGGGTTCGAGAGGCTGGGATCTTCGCGCTTTGCTGGGGTGCGCTTCTTCGTGTGAGCGAGGCGACTAAAGCTACGCGTGGTCACCTGGTTTTTCCTGCTGATGCGCTTTGGATGCAGCCTTTTGTATTGGTTAAGATTGACGAGCCCAAGACAAGGGGCAGAGCAGCGAAGCACCAGGCGGCGAAGCTGGAGCCTTCTGATCTGGTCAGCATTGTTTCTTTGGCTTTCGAGAGCTTTCCGAAGGCCTCACTCGGAAACGCTGAGGAAACGTTTCGACACAGTTCTTGAACGGCTTCAAATCCCAACTGCAAGAGGGCCGTCTCGCCCTCTGGATTTGGCTTCACTTCGGCCTGGTGGTGCGACTTTCCTACTTCAGTTTACAGAAGACAGCGAGCTTGTGAGGAGGCGAGGCCGATGGGTGTCCCATCGCGTGATGGAAATCTATTTCCAAGAAGTGGCAGCCTTAACCTTCATGGCGGACCTCTCTGAAGCAGCCCGCGGAAAGGTTCTCTACTTTTTCGGACATACTGAAGCAGGTGCAGCTTTGGAGCAAACTCAACATACCCAGTCAGTGTTGGAGCTTTCTTTGGACTTGAGGAACTCTTTGCCAGGCGTTAACTGTTGGGAACGGGTCTTTTTTCGTGGTGAAGATTTCCCATCACATGTGATCCATCCTGCGAAAGAACGCCTGGACACACTCAGAGCATGGGAGAAAAAGGGTGTGCGAGCCACTGGCAATAGTGACGAGCAGAGGATGGTTGACCTGCTGCTGTTGCTCAAGCTCCCGCCTTCCCGCCCAAGTTTATTGAGGTCTTTCTCCAGAGGGGTCTTTTTTCGTGGTGATCCATCCTGCGAAAGAACGCCTGGACACACTCAGAGCGTGGGAGAAAAAGGATGTGCGAGCCACTGACATGCCCTGACGGCATGGTTTCCTCACGAGCCCCGTGTTTCTAGTGGAAACTCGGTCAAATCGGCCGTTTTGAGCTTGATGCTGAATCGTGCGTTTTGAAGGCTACTTCCGTCAAATGCTGAATCCTGCGTTTCTAAGGGGGATGCGTTCCAAAAGGATTTGTGTTAAACCACGAAACAGGTAAGAGACAAGAACCAGACAGCGTACGACCAAACCAACAAAACCAACACTAACCCTGAAGAACCCTGAGGGCAGGACCTGGTCCTGTCGATCCTTTTGCTGCTTGAGCACTCTTGTGCCTTCGGTCGGTCTCGCCTGACGGCACAGAAATTCCGGGATTTGCACTGGTTCTACTCTCCCGTCCTTTACGGGAAACGTAAAAAGGCAGCTTGAGAGCGTTCTTCAAAACCTCCCACCACTTATCAGCGCACAAAGGCTTGGTCAAGATATCGGCAAGTTGAGTGGTGGTAGGGATCCAATGGAGCGGAATCTCTCCATTGCGACGCTCCCAGCTCAGACTCTGTCTCAGAGCCGCAAGATCTATAGCCAGGCGCTTATCGCTTGGCACACGCGGAATGCCTTCTTTCAAAAGGTGCTCTGCTAACGACTTACAGTCCGACAAGTACCTCAAATGCTGGCCCTGAAGATCTTCTACCTTCAAGAGCTTGCCTTGCAACAGGGAGCACAAGAAGGAGCGGACGTACTGCCCGGTCTCTAGTCGTCTCTAGTCCTTCAGTGCAGGCCATCGTCTCAGCAGCGAAAGTTGAGCGGCAGACACGTTTCACTGAAGAAAAGCGTCACTCGAGAACACTGCAGTGCCCTTCTTGGCCAAGAGTTCTAGAGTGGCGGTCAGCGCCGACGAGGTGACCGTTGACCAGGAGCTCTACGCCTCTGGAAGGCTGTTCACCGTTGACATCCAGAAGGACCAGAGCAGACCATCGACAACATGAGCGCCATTGGGGCGCTGTCATGTCCTGACTTGCAAGCAGGGTTGAGGACTTGAAGTTCACCAACTCTTTGGTGAAGAAGGCCCAGACACTTCGCGGAGAGTATTTGAGATTGAAGCCCATTGACCTCGAGAACTTCGAGATCTTGGCCTACCACGACGCTGCGTGGGCCAATACCAGACCCTGTCAAGACCAGGATGCTGGGTTTGCTCTCTATGACGATGACGAGCTCGATGGCCTGATCGAGGACAACCCCTTCCGCAGCAAGGATCGCACGGCGAAGCGAGCGGCTTCAAAGGTGGCCAGGCAGTTCGGAGTGCTGATTGCGCTAGCTGATCGGAGATGCACCCAGGTACTCGAACACATTGTCGAGCCACTCATCAACAGGCAGGACGGCGCTTAGGGCATCCTTTAGAGCGTCACACAAGGAGCGGGGTCCAGCCGCCAGAAGGTAATCGACATGGATGCCTAGATAGCCTTTGGGTGTCTGTGCGGGGTTGGCGATGTCCTTAAGGCAGAAAATACAGGGGTCCAGGGGAGGTTGCTCCAGGAAGTAGATGGCATCCTGCCAGTGCACACGGACCTCGGCCAGGACATCTTTCATCTCCCCCGCCCCCTCGGTCCATCAATCCAAAAATGCACTCCTCCACCTTCCAAAGGGCGCCCTTTTCCATGCCAGGAACGCCAGAAGCGGGTTGTTGAAGGTCCAGGGGTCATCTCCGCCCTGTCTGCTGGCGACGACCTGCAAGATGGAGAAGGGCGTCGGGGTCGCGGTGCCCCCCCGCCACCACACGCGCCTTCGCGCGCCATCATGGTGTGGTCTCAATCGTGATGTCAATATCCGGTCCCCCGGAATGGAGGCTCGGATTCTCTCACTCTCGGCGAGCGTCAAGGGAGTGAGGGCGGAGTGGTCGTAGTGGTCCTGGACCTGTTTCTGCTCCGCACGCGCCATGCAGCTCAGGAGGTATGGTTTTTTGCGGGACCTTTCGGTGAGGCATGCTCTCCAGGTCCTTTTCGACGAACACGTTTAGGAACAGGTGGAGGATGAAGGTCTGCGCGATCGGCCTTACGTGGGAGTCCTTGTTCTTGCCCTCTTCCGCCACCTCGGGCTCGGGGTCGGTGAAGTCGAACTCGTAGTCCATGTCCTCCTCGTTGTGATTCTCGTTGTCGTCGCCATCGGCGTAGGCCTCGGCGTCGTCCGGCTCCATGCCGAGGAGCTTCTCAAGGTCGGCGCGGGCAACCCTGCTGTTGAAGGAGTCGTTGATTTCTTCGAGCGCTCCTCAGGTGTTCCGGGGCGACCAAATGACACCTCCCTCCGAAGCTGACCCAAAAGTTTCCGCCTTCTTCGCCCAGAAGGATTCCTGGGCCTCTCCAGCGGCCGTTCTTGGTCCCCTGCTTCTCGATTCGATAAAAGCAGACAAACTCACCCTTGACAAAGCCGCCGCGTTGAACTCGGGCATGCTGGATCAAGGCACGTCTGAACTTGCTATCTTGGCGAGTCTGGAAAAACGCCGCTCAGGCGGCGGTGCACAGTGCAACCGCGCGCTGTCTCTGGCGGTCGCTTGAGAGGATTTCCAGGAAGAGCTCATCATCATGGCCACCTTCCAACTCTTCTGGATACCTCGGCTCACGTCCGAACACTGCCATCGAAGGACTGAAGCTATGTTTGCGGCGAAGTTCGTTCTTCGCCGAACAAGTGGACGCCACCGCCAAATCTATGTCAGCTTCCGTGACCGACTGCTCATCCACAACTTTCTGCAACATCTCTTGAAACCAGCGCCCGTGGCGCTCTATGGTTCCACCTTGCCAGTGAGTGAGCCTCTGTGGTTCCAACTTGCCAGTGAGCCTGTCCTGCAGCGGCCCTCAGTCTTCAGCCGCAGAACTCGGCATACCGGCTCAGCCCGGCCTGTAGGCCCGTTTCGAGGTCTGCAAAGATGGTCTTGGGAGGACCAAAAACACGTCCCCAAAGGTCTACAAAGCCGGCCTCAAAGTCTGCGCTGCTGTGGCCTTGGATTCGCTTCACCAAATGGAAGGTGGTGGAGTGGTCGATGACTGATAGTAGCTCATGTCGTACACGTTGGCTATCAAACACATGCGCCAAATCCAAACTGACCATCTGGTTGAAATCCGTTTGCGTCTGGCGCAAGTGTGACATCTCGAGGATTTTGATGCTTTGAGGACAGCCTGATCGGCGCCAGCGTATCTAAGATGCCGGGTGAGGTCGCGATTTTCAGGGTGTCCTAGATTTTGGTGAAGTCGGGCCAGTGCGGCTCCAATGACTCCAATGTGCTGAGGAACCTCTGAATCAAAGCTGATAGCGCTGGCTCCACGAGGGTCAGAGGCAGGAACACCGGCATCAGGAGGAACAACGTCTTGCGCAAACGCTTCTTGGTCGACTGTGCTTTGCTCAACCTCCCCTGCCGGCCTCAAAGTGATCTCCTTCCCAAGCTCGCCCTGCTTAAAAGTTACTTCATAGCTGGAAAACTCCTCTTTGAAGCTATCAGCGTCCCAACTTACATCTTGCAGATCACCTTCTAGAACTGCAACTCCGCCCCGTCTTAGCTGCTGGTGCAACACGCTCCTGGCCTTGTCGACGAAGTTGAAGTTGGTGTCCGCGGTGTGCAGCCATAGAACCTGGGGCCCAAGGGAGTTGGTGAGGTTAGTGACAAGCTCTACACCGCCCTTCTCAAGGAACATGACGTGCTCAATAGGTTCGACTACATCTCGACCCCAATCAGCCACCCTGCTAGTCATGGTCATCCCTCCAATCTCAAGGATTGCTGGGCCATCTTCAAGGGGCTTACTGAAAAACTCTCCGAAGTAGGACGAAGCTGTACTCATTGACAACGTCAACATGGCGCTGGCTTGTAGGGCTTTCTTCCAGAGCTTTTTGCGGATGCTCCTCTTGGGACGAACCGCAGCTTCACGGTCTGCTGGAGCCATGTCAGCACACCCCTTCATCTCAGGTTTCCCAACCGGAAAACCGAAAGACGTCAGGAGATCTCTTTCATCTCGGCGGGCATCACGTCCTCTGGGGGCAGCAATTTTACCATGAAGCACTGGCTGCAGACTATCCTCAACCCACAACCGGCCACCTTGGAACTTCCCAAGGGTCATGGTGCAGTTGTCACGATCCCGAGCATTGTGAGGATCACGGTGGAGGGAAGTAGCGCCATTCCATCCAACAGAAAGCGCTGTCCGACTGCCCTTAAACCCATTGCTTTTGAGGAAGGCATTGAGGTACCTTATAGTTTCGGGGTACTTATACGTTATGCCAACCACGCCGTAGAAGCCTCCATGGGCATAGGCGCCTGCAGTCACCCTCGCATCCTCCTTGAGATGTGCATTGCGATAAGGCTTCCCGGCTCCACGGGGACAAAACTGACGCAACAAATCTTCACACATGCCGGAGAAGTTTTTGGCCTTCCGAA